ATAAATTCAAGGATGTGAGCCCCAGAGCATCTAAGCCTCTTTCTCCCAAGGGGTTGAGTATATTAAATAGCTAAGAAGAAAAACAACTGGCTATAAGGACTTGTTCTGAAAGATACCAGTGTTTATTAGAAATCTATAATAATCGTGACAGTGGAATACTGGACAGACAAGCAAAACAGAGAAAAACACAGGCCAGCAGTAGATCCACACATAGATAGGTCCTTGATGTGTAACTGACACCACGCCAAAGATCTAAAAATATTAAATCAGACCTTACTGATTTACTACTAAATGTAGTAAAATGACTATACTAAATTTACTACTGCTAAATTTATGACAATTTACTAATCAATCATTCATTTCTGATTTACTTAACTAAATCAAATCTCTACTTCATACTGAACACAAAAATGGACTCGAAGTGTATTAAAGAACTAGATGTGAAAAGTGTAGCTTCAAAGCTTTTAGAAGCTATATAGAATATCTTCATGATCTCTAGGTAGGGAAAGTTTTCATAGGTAAGACAAAAAAAAACCAAAGCATTAACTATTAAGGAAAAGTTATATAAACTAGGTGATAGTAAAATTAAGAACTTCTGCTTACTAAAAGATAACACAGAGTGAAAAGCAAGCCACAGAGTGGGAGAAGAATTTTGTATCACATATAACTGTCAAAGAAGTACCCAGCATTTTTTAAAAGGTGAAGGGCAAATAACCAGGCAATTCACGAAAAGGAAAATCTAAACTCAAACGGCCCAAATAAATACGTATACACCTCATTTGTAATCAGAAAAAAGCAAATAAAAACCACAGCAAGATACAATTGCATCTCCTCACAGCACACAACATTTGGCAGAAAAATGAGCAGCGTTGGTAAAGATGCAGAGCAACTGGAACTCTCAATCGATGCTGGTGGAAGTGTCTATTGGCTCAACCACTTTGAAAAACAGTTTGCCATTATCTAGGAAAGTTAAGGATGCACATACCCTAAAACTCAGCAATAGCCACAAACTGAAAAATACCCAAAAGTCCATCAAAATTAGAACAAAGAAATTCTGATTTATTTATACAGTGGAACACTATTTGGCAATAAGAATGAATGAATTACAACTACATACAGCAGCATGGATGAATGAATTGTACATATGTAATGTTGAGCAAAAGAAGGAACACACACACACAAACACACATTTAAACTCAAAAAAAAAAAAACTAAAAATATGTTTTTAGTGAGGCATGCATAGCAAGGATAATCCAGGAAATGAGGACTATAAAAGTTAAGGTGGTAACTACATATCTCGGGGGAGAGGTATGAGAGAAAGCAGCAAATGGTATATTGGGGGCATTTTCTGCGGATCTAGCAATATATGTACTTTCCTGTAGTATATTGTATTTCACAATAAAATATTTCAAAAATGATAAATGGATCATTACCAATTTGAGAGTTTTCACCAAAATAAAAAATTAATTTGG